CTCTTTAACAGGAGAAGATGGCTCCTGTGTAGGAGTGGTGGAGGTGAAGACATTAGGATGGGGAATATGTTCTCCAACTGAGAGGAGTTCCTCTTTAACATGAGAAGATGGATCTTGTGTAGGATGGGTGGAGCTGAGGACATCAGGGTGGAGGATATGTTCTCCAACTGAGAGGAGTTCCTCTTTAACATGAGAAGATGGCTCTTGTGTAGGATTGGTGAAGACATCAGGGTGAGGTATATGTTCTCCAACTGAGAGGAGTTCCTCTTTAATGTGAGAAGATGGATCTTGTGTAGGATGGGTGGAGGTGAAGACATCAGGATGGGGGATATGTTCTCCAACTGAGAGGAGTTCCTCTTTAGCAGGAGAAGATGGATCTGGTGTAGGATTGGTGGAGGTTAGGACATCAGGGTTGGGGATATGTTCTCAAACTGAGATTAGTTCCTCTTTAATGTGAGAAGATGGCTCTTGTGTAGAATGGTTGGGGGTGTCCATATTAGAGAAATGTCCTTCAACTATCAGAAGCTCCTCCTTACCTATCAGTCACCCACCACCCCGTCCTGACTAGTAATGATTATAATGTCACAAGAGGAGGGGCATTATTATAATGAATTCTCTGGACCCCCCCCCAATAAAACGCTGATCACTCGTCCCGACCCCTAAGTGTCAATACCCCACGATAAATAACATTCATCAACATTTATTGTGGGCACATATAGTTGTGACCACGCCCCTTTATATCTCAGTCCCACCCCCAAATAATAATAGTTGGTTAATAATTTAGTTTACTTATTATTCACAAGGCAGTGACACGCTGTCATTATTACATCTGCGGGGTTCTTCGCTGTATGAATATTAATGAGACCCTCATGAATATTAAACATTGACAATCACTCCTTTTTTATAATTAACGAGCTGCCCAGAGCTCATTAATATTCATGAGGCATTCTAGCCCATCCTTAGGTTCTCAGTTCCCTCCCTCTTCTGAATATGAATGACCTAATAATAATTCCTGGACACTGCTCTCATGTTCATTAATATTCATAAGCCGGTTTCCTGCTCAAATAGTGTCAACCACCTCCTTATAAATATGAAATCATTAATATTCATAGAATCACCAGTCCCTTGTATGCATATTAATTAGCCCCTCCCTAATGACCCTCCCCTATATATCCCCTCCCATCTTCTGAATAATGAAGCAAGCTTTTTTATTGTTCATGAAATAACACGCTCAGAGACCACGCCTTAAAATATTAAGAGGCTGAATATTCATGAGGCGGTGTCACGCGCTCGCACTCTCGCGCCGCCTCGGAGCCTCTCACCTCCGCTAAGCCAGCCAGTGCGGGATCCCTCCATCCGCCCCATTTCCGGCCAGCCTGCGTTCCACACGCCGGAAGCAGTTCAATCCTTCCGCTCCCGCGGCGGCCATCTTGGTTAAGGGCAAGATCCGGAAGAGGCAAAGAAATCGACGCTGCGGCAGCGTGTGTGCTTGGAGCCGCCTCCGGGGAGTGAAATTGAAGGTGCACAGGCTAGATACCGGCAGGTGGGTTTTGTTTAAACGAGCCCCTTTAAGGAGAAAGGGGGTTTCAGCAGGACACCAATGGGGTCGTAACACGTCTCGCGGGGACGACTGGCGTATCCGAAAATGAATAAAAGACCGCTTTCTGACAGCTTCCCAGACTATGCGTCCGCCAGACCATAGAGCTCATCTACCTGCTGACCGGAGAGGCGAGGAGGATTCTGGGAGATCACATGCCAGCACTCATCACTAAAACACAGACCTGACCGCAGAGGTGAGGATTCTGGGAGGTCACATGACATCACTCTTATCTCTATTAATAATAAACAGACCTGACCGCAGAGGTGAGGATTCTGGGAGGTCACATGACATCACTCTTATCTCTATTCATAATACTCAGACCTGACCGGAGAGGTGAGGAGGATTCTGGGAGGTCACATGACCTCACTCTTATCTCTATTCATAAAACAGACCTGACCGCAGAGGTGAGGAGGATTCTGGGAGGTCACATGACCTCACTCTTATCTCTATTCATAATACACAGACCTGACCGCAGAGGTGAGGAGGATTCTGGGAGGCCATTTTGTAATATTTATTTTTGTCTTCTCTTTTATCACAGTGAAGAGATGATCTGGGGACATCCTGTTCAGCATCTGAAAGATATGACAAGAAGATTTTAGAAGTCACCCAGAAGATCATGGAGCTGCTGACAGGAGAGGTGAGCGGTGGCGGGAATTCTGGGACGTGTTCCAGGAACAGACAAGGGGTGTGTCTGGATGGTGACTGTATCATTGTGTGTGTCAGGTTCCTATAAGGTGTCAGGATGTCTCTGTCTATTTCTCCATGGAGGAGTGGGAGTATCTAGAAGGACACCGGGATCTCTACAAGGGCGCCATGATGGAGAACCGGCCACCCCTCAGCACATATGATGAGGGTTTGGCGGCTCCTTGTACCCCATTGTGGTCCATGATTCCAGAAGGTCTGATCCTATTGGATATGACCTGTTTCTCCAATCTGGGAACTCCGTTCAGTAGAGCCAGAGCTCATTGGAGGTCTATGCCGGTAAGGGTAGTTTGACAGTTGCTTGAAGTCAGGGTTGGAATGTCCAAGCTTTAACATGGTGGCACCTTGATATTGGACTCATGGATTGGGTGGTGAATTTGGAGCATTTCAAATTCATTGGAACTTTCTGCTTCTTCTCCTCCTTGCTGTCAACAAGGATCTCTGGATAGACTCCTCCTTGGAGAAACTCACTGCGATCGTTCTGGTCATTTTGCTTGAGGTAGAAGGGGGCTAATAAATGTCACTGTGTAGTCAATCCAACACCAAGTTTTGGATTCCAGTGGGGTCATTCCAGGTGGAGTTGAGGGATTTGGTCGTAAAAGATGAAGTTGGTGAGGAAAGGCATATAGCCTTATGCTTAATGAAGTACATCTATCACCTTCCTGGAGAAAGTAATAGCCTCCCTTGACTGGGAGGTACCTTGTGTGGAGGAGCATGTGATCTTTTCCTGAGTAGCCAATCAACAGGCTTGAACGTTGTCATGTGGGGGCGCAGGGACAACATAAATGAGGAGCTTTTATCTCGGGGCTATTGCAGGAGAACAGGCCCACCAGGCTGTGTGGGCAAGGTAAGAATCAGTTAGAGTTGGCATGGGTTACAAACAGGAAAGGCAAAGTGACAGGTCCTCTTGAAGGGGTTCATATTAAGAAAGTTATGCCCAGATTCTGCAAAGGCCTCTAGGTTCATGGGCGGCAGCACCATGCATGTTGATCCACGCTTTATATGGCAAGAAGGTCTACCTAAAAAGATTTGGTTGGCAGGGCAATGATGGCGTTAGGTACTAAACTCCATACCTCTGTTCTGTTAGGGGTTAAAATTCCTTTCCAAGCGTTTCCGATTCCCATTCTTGACCTCGGTGATGTGACGGATGTTTTCCACCGAGGTCCAAGTAATGTGGAATCAGAAGGTTACCTTTACGACCAAAGAGGAGGCATCTGAAGGATCTACACTATCAAAACCAGCCTACTAGGATTTTTGAAAATGTGACCTGAGCAGTGGTAGACCAGAGTCCCGGGTGGTCCAGAGTCCCGGGTTTGCTTAATCCAGACAGAACCATTAAAGGGCATTGAGAGATTACGTAATAACATGGAGGCCACATAGAGGAGGTCTTAGATTATGCATGGGAGGATCACCATGTAGGACTCTATGGTTTTTGGTCATCTCATCTTGGCTGTTGAAATCCAAACCTTTTTGGGATATCATTTCACTTTCACTGAGACTTCTTTATGGTTATGTTCTTCTGGATGGAGATCCTGAGCCCGGCATTGGTCATAGCGGTCCAGAGATCTGCCTGCCACTGCTTCCTCATAGCCTAAGCAACAGAGAGCAAAGTCCAGGCCTATGAGTATATTGATGGAGGACTTCTGGGCAGCTACAGCAGACACAGTGCTGAAGATAATATAGCTGGGTTCTTGGTGGGCACCAAAACCGACCTGTCCATACTTGAAGTCTGTTATATGTCGGTCTGTTCCATCATTATCGTGCCTGGTGTTTGTAAGTTTAAAAAGTATTGTGGGGAGGAGGGACCCGGTCCTAGAAGTGGATAACTCAAGTTTCAATGACTTCTCCTCCGCAGATTATCCATGGCATCGTTCTGCTTCTGACAAGGGGGACCCTTTGAATGGGAAGAAGGAGATATCCCACATTCCGGTGCTTCCACCCTGATGAAAGAGAAGCCCACACTGGCATGTCTAAGTCCACAGGCCATGAGCCACCTACATCTACTCCTCAGCTCTCTTGGCCTGAAAGGTCTCCATGCTTTGACAACACCCTAAATCGACCTGCGATGGTTAAGGAAGAACCCCTTACCTGTGAACACCCCTCATCTAGTGACCTTTCCGCTTCCATGGATGAGAAGGAAATGGTGCCAGTTACAATGAAAGAAGACTCAAGCTTGAGCAAAGAGCATCTCCTACAAAGCGACCTTTCCACCACCATGGACGATGAGCAAGATATCTCTGCCATCATCAAACGGGAACCTCTCTCAAGTGACGAACTCCTCTCTCAAAGTGACCACTCCCCCTCCACGGATAATGCGTCGAGCTTGTCGATTATGGTAAAGGAAGAACCTTTCTCTGGTGAGGAACAGGTCCCAGCCTCGGACATCAGCTCTTCGAGAGATCGCACGAAAGTGAGGGCTGTGAATGTTGCAGAGACATTGAAGGTTGCAGAGACAGCCCACTCATCAAGTGAGGAGCAGTCGTCTGACCATGAGATGGATCAATCACAAATTTCAATAGCTAAGAATAAAGAGGAAACCCTCCCGAAAGAAAGAGCCAACGTTACCAAGAGCAGGCGGATTGAGCGCTTGCCGCGGCTGCCGAATCACGTTACGGGTAGGCCAAAGAGTTCTGGAGGGGCCGAGGAAATGACCGCCGTCTGCCCCATCTGCGGAAAGAGCTTCGGCAACAACCGGAAGTTTGTGAAGCACCAGAGGGCCCACACGGCGGAGAAACGCTTCGCTTGCCAAGAATGCGGGAAGGCCTTCGCCAGCAACTCCACGCTGATCAAGCACCAGCGGGTCCACACGCGGGAAAAGCCGCACCTGTGTTCGGAATGCGGGAAGTACTTTTCCAGCAAGCCCAGCCTGCGGGAGCACAAGAAGCGTCACACAGGTGACAAGCCGTTCGGCTGCGACCAGTGTGGGAAGTGTTTTGTCAAGAAGTCCCACCTCACAGTTCATGAGCGTAGCCACACCGGGGAGCGCCCGTTCCCTTGCCCGGAGTGCGGCCGGGGCTTCCCCACCAGCTCCAGCCTCCGTGCCCACCAGAGCGTGCACACCAAGGACACGCCGTTCACGTGCTTAGTATGCGGCAAGGAGCTGAAGAGCCAGGCCAACCTGATCTACCACCAGAGGATCCACACCGGGAAGAAGCCCGACACCTGCCCTGAGTGCGGGGAGTCATTCCTCAGCGGGCCTCAGCTACTTGTCCACCTGCGAAGCCACACTGGGGAGAAGACCTACACTTGCCAGGACTGCGGAAAGGACTTTGTCAGCCAGTCCCACCTCGACCGCCACAAGAGGACCCACACGGGCGATAAGCCCTACGGCTGCCCCGAGTGCGGCAAGTGCTTCCCCAGCAAGTCCCACCTGGACATCCACCGCCGCATTCATGCCGGCGAGAAGCCCTACAGCTGCCCCGACTGCGGCAAGGGCTTCATCACCAATTCGCACATGGTCATCCACCGACGCATTCACACGGGCGAGAAACCTTACTCCTGCTCCATCTGCGGGAAGTGCTTCAGTGGGGCCTCCAACCTTATCAAGCATGAGCAGATACACGGGGGGGAAAAGGCCTACACCTGCTCGGAGTGCGGGAAGCGCTTTCTGAGGAAAGATGCCTTGTTCAAGCACGTACAGACCCACCGGAAAACCATAACGTGAACGGGAGCCTTCAGCTGCTTTGTGTCTGCTGACGCCATCACCGAATCCTAATAAAAAGGACTGTCCTTTTTTAAGTGCTCGATCCCTATGGCAGAGGAGGTCCCTCTGCGTTCAGAATGGTAGGGGGAGGAGTCTCAGCTCATAGAGGAGCTGGCCATATGTCCTACAGCCTAGCCTCTGTTCTCAGGTCTAACCTCATTCCAATTACCATCAGGCTAGATGGTGCATCTAACTACCATCTAATAGGCGGGGCCCCAGTAGAGGGAAGAAGGGGATGGTTTGGGACATTTTTGGACTTGGCCAAGGGCTATATATAATATCTGCTATGAAAGGACCTGAACTGTAAGCAGGGAGCCATCATCTTTACGGAACAGACGTGACAACCTCCTGGCTGAAGATGGCCACCACCGGTCTTTTTAAATATGTTTGCTAAACAGATTTTAGTTTTTTTCCCTTCAAATGCCAAAATGTCCTCTCTTAAAGGGATTGTCCACTTTAATGAAAGATAGGGGAACCATTATGGGTTGGTGGCCTCAGCTTAGAGCTGAGACAGGTGGAGGAACCTCAACTGCTTCTCTACCCATGTGTATGGAGGAACCTCAGCCGCTTCTCCACCTGTGGGTATGGAGGAACCTCAGCCGATTCTCTACCTGTGTGTATGGAGGAACCTCAGCCTCTTCTCTACCTGTGTGTATGGAGGAACCTCAGCCTCTTCTCTACCCTTGTGTATGGAGGAACCTCAGCCTCTTATCTACCCTTGTGTATGGAGGAACCTCAGCCTCTTCTCTACCTGTGTGTATGGAGGAACCTCAGCCTCTTCTCTACCTGTGTGTATGGAGGAACCTCAACCTCTTCTCTACCCATGTTTGTGGAGGAACCTCAACCTCTTCTCTACCCATGTTTGTGGAGGAACCTCAACCTCTTCTCTACCCATGTTTGTGGAGGAACCTCAACCTCTTCTCTACCCATGTTTGTGGAGGAACCTCAACCTCTTCTCTACCCGTGTGTGTGGAGGAACCTCCGCCTCTTCTCTACTTATGTGTATGGAGGAACCTCAGCCTCTTCTCTACCCATGTTTGTGGAGGAACCTCAACCTCTTCTCTACCCATGTTTGTGGAGGAACCTCGACCTCTTCTCTACCCATGTTTGTGGAGGAACCTCAACCTCTTCTCTACCCGTGTGTGTGGAGGAACCTCCGCCTCTTCTCTACCTATGTGTATGGAGGAACCTCAGCCTCTTCTCTACATGTGTGTATGGAGGAACCTCAACTGCTTCTCTACCCTTGTAAATGGAGGAACCTCAACCTCTTCTCTACCAGTGTATATGGAGGAACCTCAACCTCTTCTCTACCAGTGTGTATGGAGGAACCTCAACCTCTTCTCTACCCGTGTGTATGGAGGAACCACAACCTCTTCTCTACCTGTGTGAATGGAGGAACCTCAACCTCTTCTCTACATGTGTGTATGGAGGAACCTCAGCCTCTTGTCAACCCGTGTGTGTGTGTGAAGGGACTTCGACCTCTTCTCTACCCGTGTGTATGGAGGAGTCTATGGTTAATGAAAGGGGGCGGGGGCAATCACTGTATTGGGTCTAGTAAGAAACTTTAGCTGGAAGTAGTCTTCCATCATAACCTATCATCTTGGCTTCCTCCATTGGCCAACATTCCCTTAAGTCTAACACCCTTTTAAGAATGTAGACATTCCCATTAAGAGAACATGCTCTGAAGTGGACATTCCCTTTAAGAGGATGAACGAAGTCCAACAGTCACTGGAAACGCTCTTTAATAAGACACCCCGGTTTTTATTACTGGGACATTCCCTTCTACGTGCTCTTCAGCTTTTATGGTGCTTCCGTGTCTAGAGGTCCTCCCCTTTAAGTCTCACTGTCTAACGCACAGCCTCGATTGTTGTATTTAATAAATGCTACTGACTTTTTTAATGTATCTGAAAATAAGTTCTCCTGCCTGAACTCTTCTCCGTGTGTTGTATCCTGAAATCAGAACCCGATTAGGTGGGCGGGGCTTCTTTGTACAGTGACCCCCCCTGCTCAGCCCACCCAGTGGTCATTCCCTTTAAGGGAATCTCGGTCACAGCTGTGTCTCAGGAGTATCGAGCATTCTGTGGTGGTAGGAACAGTTACATGGCCCCTTTAGTGATGCCCAATAGGCCGGGTTTTGTGGCCCTGGATCTTGGGGGCAGAGTTGAGGGTCAGGTAGTACTGTTATAGAAGGTACTTGGGGCAGATCCTCATTCCTTAAAGACAAAGGAGGCACTTGGCTTTCCTCGGCATCCATTTGGAATATGGTGAGGTGTAGTCTGTATCGTTGCATGGTGGAGACGATGGTATGGGCATCACAAGCCCCGCCTCCCCGTATCATTAATGGTTCCTCCAGGCATACGGATGCACACTTGCCATGGTCATTATGGGGGGACTCCATTCTCCCCGAAATTCACCCGACATAGACGCCACCTGGAGCTCCCGAAACACAAGCCTTCGGTGCTGGCCTGAGCCATCCCCCGCCATCCATTGGATTTAGTTTGCAGGGTGAGTAGTGTCCATTGCCAACTTCTGATTGGTGGGATCAGACCATTGCTTCCTTTTCTTCTGATTGGTGGGATCAGACCATTGCTTCCTTTTCTTCTGATTGGTGGGATCAGACCACTGCTTCACTTTCTTCTGATTGGTGGGATCAGACTACTACTATACCATAGATTCTCTGCATACTAAATACAACTGATCACATGACAAAAGCACCTCCCACACCTTTATTCTGTGACACCAAATCCAGTTTCCTCTGATCACATGACTCAGGCTGGCTCCTCATTCTCTCTCTATATATTATTAAAATAAACTTTATGCAATGCTTTAGGTTCACAGATGTAGCAGCAGCAGATGGGCTTCTCTCAGATCACATGACCCAGCTAGGCTCCGCCCATCCTTCCGTGTCATCACTCCATCTCAGTAAAGACTGCAGTGAGGCTTTCATTTTCCCCGCTGAAAGCAGCTGAGCTTAACTTCCGCTTTGCGTTCCAAAAGCCGGAAGGTGCCCTGAGAAACCGGTCTGCTGTCTACCGTTCCGTTCACACAGGGTTCAG